TCTAATAACTCCTTCATTTCTTTCTTATACGCCCTCACTTCTACATTAGTGAGCAGCACATTCACAAATCCTACCCCCCGCCCTTGAATTCCCGACATTGCAACCTCTCGCAAAGGATAAACCCGAGCCTCCCCCGGCTCCCTTTCTGGAGCCCTTAACCGATTCCCCCCCCTTCGTTGCTGCCGGGTTTCAGGTCTGATCTTAACAACAGGGGCCTCCTCACCCGCATCTTCCTGCTGCACCCCTTGATTTTCTGGCTGTGCCGGGTTATATGGTGGGGGTAGGTTATTTAAAGGGTCCCATCTCCCTTCCTTCCTTTCTCTTTCACCTTCTTCAACCTGCTCCTCCTGCTTCAACTTACAAAATCCCAAATCTCCACGACCCCCTCCCACACGAGGCATATTCACTCTCTTCTTGATTAAATGGTTCCTTTGAATTAACGTAAATATTGAGAGCTTGACAAATCCAATCCTCATCTGATCCATATTTTGGCCAATACACCGAATCTTGCCTGATAGGTCCTTTAGTCCATTCAAACATACAGTAATTCACCATCTTGATCTTACTCTTTCCTCTGGTACATGAGCTCTAATCCCAATTTGATCATTTCATTCCTAATGGACTGTCAGATGCAATATCACCTGGTAATTTCTTGTTCCCTTTTTTTTTTTTTTTTCCCACCGAGCCATGTTTTCCCCATCCCCTGTCCCATTTTTCAGCCTTTCCCTAATGGACTGTGTGGGAAATGGCAATCCTTGGCTCCCTATTACCCTGAGAACTCAACTGTCTATCTCCTAGTGTCTTGTTCGCTCAACTAGATGACCGAAGTGTCTTGTTTCCCCTTTCCTGGGGAACTCAACTGCCTAGCTCCTAGTTTCTTGTTCACCCAACTAGACTAACTGAAGTGTCTTGTTTCCCCTTTCCTCCCGGGGGAGCCGTTCACTCCTTTTCCCTCACTTCGTCTCTTCACCGGCCGTCCCCCTCGCGGGAGCACGGACCCGCGGTTAGAGAGACTCCACAACCGCTTTGCCAGTGCAACCTGGCACCTCACGTCTCACACACACACACCTTTCCGTCCTCCCCCTAGCCCACCACCCGAACAGCACTTCCAGTTCTTTGTTTTTCCCCGCCCGGGTCTTGTGCACAAGATGTAACGGCTGACGCGGTCTCCAGGGAGCCCTACCCGCTCTTTGGCCCACGAGTCCCCCGCCGGGATCGTCACCGCCACCCTCGATGGCGCCGGAGGGAACCAAAGAGACCGCTGAACTCAGCGGGGCGCGCCTTCCCTTCAGGGCCCTCTGGCCCCACGGCGGCGAGGCTTCTGTATCCCAGACGAGCCCCCAGTTGTGAGAAACAAGCTGACGTAGATAAAAAAAATGTTTTATTGGGGACAGAGTCAGTGGAGCAAAGAATACAGCGGCTGGGCTCAATGGCGCCCCTTTCTCTTTAGGGTTCCAGTCCTCCTTTTTGCACCTGCACAGTTCCTTTTCCGTGGTTTCTTCGAGGCTGTCCCTCTCTCTGTACTTTTCCACTGCTTCACTACTTTTTATGACAAAACAGGCAGCTGCGGAGCAGGGGAGGCAACCACAATGTTATATGTAACCATTTGCTTTAAACATGAAACCAAACAAAGAACAATGCAATACAACTAAGCCGAGTAACAAGCCCACTCGCTTTCCTTCCCCCTCCTTCTACTTTGGTGTTTCCAGTTGGTCTCGGTGGTCCTCTGGGGGGGGTTGGTGGGGGCTAAGTCCAGGTTCCTCTTCACCAGGAGTTCTTCGCTTAACCCTTTTCTGCTGGCTTCCATTCCTCTTTACATGATACCTAACCACAGACACCCCCCCATCCCTTGCTTGCCCAACTCCCCACAATGCCCAACCGTATGCCAAACTCATAATCCAAAAAAAAGGCCTGCTTAACTGTTATAACTTTAGCAACACTACGCTAGCAACACTAATTTAATAACGGCTTTAGGCCTAGCTCAATAAAAGTAAGTGTTGGATTACTTTTAGCGGAAGCAAACTTCTACCGTTGCTTCTCAGAGTTAGTACAGCAATGACAGCACTGAGTCGTGATGCACGCCAGGATACACAGACAGACTACTAGAATTACCATCAGGAATAGGTTCTTTAGCCATGTCCAATTTGGTAGCCACGACGTCAGTTTATTCCATAATTCCTCAAAACCCCACAAGGTATCATCCTTGGTTACCTGATGCAAAATCTTAAAAGTATCTACCAACACTAATAGATATGCCATCCCTCCTTTTCTGTCTTGGCAGCTCCGTGAAATCTATTTGCCAGTGTTCACCTGAGGTATTTCCTGGTTTTGTGGCTCCGAACTGGACTCTATTCTGCGGTTTTGGATTGTTTTTAAGACAGATTTCACATTTTTCAGTTACAGATCTTATACTGTCTACCGTGTTGCGACTTATTACTGATTTCTGTAAATGTTTTAATACAGTCTCAGTTCCCCAGTGAACACTATTACGTTCTTTCTTTACTAGTTCGTGCGTGAGGAGTGGAGTGAGGATGACTTGTCCTGTGTGTGGGGGTGACAGCCCACCCATTTTCCCTGTATCTCAGCTCTCAAGGTTTCGATTAATTCTTATCCTGCTTACTATAGGTAGGAGAATCTTTCACTTCTCTCTTTTTCTCAGGTATTATTGCCAATACTTCTTTACCTTTTTCTGCAACCTTTTGAGCCGTTAGATCAGCTGATCTATTGCCTCTTTCCTGTGGGTTTCGTCCGGTTTGATGGGCTTTACAATGCATAACAGCAATTTCTTTTGGTCTTTGCGCACTTTCAGTCAGTTTCAAAATTCGTCCTGCGTGTTTAATTCTGGTTCCCTGAGATGACAACAGTCCTCTTTTCTTCCCAGATGGGTCCATGTGCATGTAATACTCCAAATGCATATTTAGAATCAGTCCATGTGTTTACTCGCTTTCCCTCGCTCAGCTTCAAGGCTCCTGTTAACCCACTGAGTTCTGCTTTTTAAGCTGAGGTGTTTGAGGGCAGAGCTTTTGCTTCCACAACTGCATCTTCAGTAATTACTGCATGTCCTGACAGCCGGATTCCTTCTTTTACAAAGCTACTCCTGCCAGAATGTAACTCCCGCTCTGGCTTTCCAAGGAGATGCCCTTTAAATGAGGTCGACTGGAACATACTTCCTCGATAGTCTGCAGGCAGTCATGCGTAGGTTTTGTTCTCTTTGTCTCAGGTTGCCGAGATGACAGAAGGGCTGCTGGATTGACAACTGCAGTTGTCTTTACAATTGGCAAGTTGAAAAATCAATTTGCTTACTGTAAGAAAGAAGGACACTGGAAAGCAAAGTGTGACACTGGAGGGGCCGGCTTCTTCTCTGCCAGCAATGAACGCAGTTGGCACCGCGGAATGAAGGGGACCTGGAGGAGACTTCCCCAGCAGAAGCTCTGGTTAAAATAAGGCTGGGGGAAGATCAAACAGAAGTAGAATTGTTAGTAGGTACTGGAGCTGCTTCTTCAGTTTTAAACGAAAGAGATGTTGAATCTAGCAAGAAATTAGCTGGAGCTGTTGGTGAGACTGGTCAAGCTGGAAACCAGACCATTCTTTAGGCCTCTAACATTCAGAATTGGAAAAGAGTGGGTGACAGAGCCATTTTTCTCTTTCCCCGGAGCTCGGAAGCCTTTAGTGGGACGTGATCTGTTAGAGAAATGAGAAGCTGAAACAAACTGTAAAGGCGGAGAGGATGATGTGTTAACTCCCGAATCGAATCTTGCCTGAGCAACTGTGTTGTTATGAGAGGACGACAGGATTCTGAGAGGTGCCGAGTCCTTCCCCGGCGCTGGCCAGGAGGGCAGAGGAGCTGGGAAGGCGCCTCAGACCCTGCCCGGCTGCGGCCGTGGCAGGCTGCTGGGAAGGGGGCCAGAAGATGAGGCGGCTCCTGCCCGGGGGCCAGCAGCTCTCCCCTGTACAGCCCCAAGAACTGGGTGACACCTTCACCCTCTGAGACGCAGGGGAGATGGAAGCTGCGGCCACAGCCCCTCTCCCAGCAGGGGATGGCAGCCCCCATCTCCCTGCAGACGAAGCGAAAGCGCAGAAGCCCCCTCAGCAGCAGGCTGAGGGCCGGTGCGGCCAGCCCCACACCTCCAGGCAGGGCACAGGCTGTGGGCACTGCCGGCTCACACCCCACAGATCTGCCTGGCGCACAAGGCTTTTGCTGGTGCTGAAGCCTCTGCGGAGCTGCTGGGAGCAGGCATTTGTCCCCGGGCTGGGGAAAGGGCCGGGGTTCCTTTCTTGGGGCTGCGGAGTGTCCAGCCTTGGAGGCAGGCCCAACCCGGCCGGGTACGGGCCTGGGCAGCCTGCTCCAGGGGCCGCCGCTTCAGCAGGCGCTTGCACTGGGGGGTGTCCAGAGGGGCTGTGGCGGGAACCCCCGGAGAAACACAGAAACCAGGAAAAACAGCAGGGATTGGGATAGACAATGAACCAACGCTCCGCAACCACACAGCCAGCAGGTTCCAGTGTCCGTGAGAGGAGAACAAGCCGTCACCAGAGAAACTTCTCTGGGGGCCTAACGACAGCCCGAAATGGTGACCAGGGGTTTCACTGGCAACCGAAAAGGCCCTCCAGGGGTTTACTGACAAGCCGAAATGGTAACCAGGGGTTTAACTGGCAACCCAAAACAATCTCTAGAAGTTTAGAGACAACACAAAACGATCTCTAGGGGGTTAACGAACACACAAAACTCTAACCAGGTTTTTAACGGAAAACCCCAAATGCTCAATCAGTCACCTAATGAATGATAAGGGCTCTCAACCTCGAGGAACAGCTTTGGGCAGTGTCCCAGCCCAAGGGCAGAGTCCTTACCTGCAGCACGCTGCTCCGGGTGGGACGAGCTCAAACTGGCTCCCCAGGGACTCCATTTCTACCCGAGCCGAATGTGACCTGGGGTCAGTACCAGCCCGTTCTGGCCGAGGGCCCCAAATACCACAAAGCCCTGAGAACAAGGGCACAGGAGAGGTTCAACCGCCAGGCAGCCCGATTTTCATCGGGCGGGTGAACCTGCCACAGGTGCCCTCCAACCTCAACCGTTCTGGGATTCTGTGAAAGGCAGACTTGCCTGTGTTGAGAGGGACTTTGTTGATCAGAGGCACGCCTAAAGTGATGAGCACAGAAATGGGAACGGGGCCAGCTGCATGGGGATGTGGGGTGACGAAGATGGGGACTAGGATGCACCAAGCAAAGGAGCAGGGACCCTGAAAGGTGTGGGCTCTGGGGCCTGTGGCAAGCATGTGACAGGGGTGGCACCAAGAACAGAGGTGGGGACCTCACTGGGCATGGAGTTGGGGACAGCACGGAGCATGTGTCCTGGTTTTCTGCTGTGTCGTGGTTTAAAGCCAGCCAGCAGCCCAACACCACGCAGCCGCTCGCTCACCCTCCCCTGCCCAGAGGACGGGGGAGAGAACTGGAGGGGCAAAGGGAGATGCATAAGTTGAGATAAGAACAGTTGAATGACGGAAAGAAAAGAAAACAGGAATAACTACGAGTCTCCTTCTCAGGGAATAAACGGGTAATGGACCATGTGATTGCTCACCACCTGCTGACCGAGGCCTAGACTAGTCCTGGCTCGTGATCCCGGAAAAGCCAAGATCCCAAAACCACAATCCCAGGAGCGAGAGAGAACCCCCTCCTTCCCAGCCAAAGCTCCTCTATGTACCCAGCATGACGTTCCATGTTATGAAATATTTCCTGGGCCAGTTTGGCTCCTGTGCTCTGGCCGTGCTCCCTCCCCGCTTCTTGTGCACCTGCGCACGGGCAGGACACGGGGAGGTGGAGAGTCCTTGATATCTCAGCAACAGCTGAAAACATCAGTGTATTATCAGCGTCCTTCTGCTACCAAATCCCATACCGTACCCAAACCCCAGCACTACTCTAGCTGTGAAGGAGGAAAATTAACTCTCTCCCAGCCAAAACCAGGGCACTGCAATAAATGCCCACGTCACGGTTGGTGCATCTTCAGGCAATGAGGTGCAGTGATCCAGCTAATCCCTGGTTTTGTCCAAGAGCTCAGTGGAAGTGGGTGGCTCTGTGTGCCACGAAAAGCACAGATCCCCCGGAGGGATCAGGGCCTGCAGAGGAGGCGGCACAGCCAGATGGCCCAAGTACCAGCCTCGCCCCAGTCTCCTGGGGTTCTCATTAGGCCCGCAGCAATACTTTTAGTCTAAGCTTATTGGGAATTTGGGCTGGATCAGTGCGCTCCCAGGAGGCGTTTTAGGGAAATGTTTTAGTGGTGGACATGGAAGTGTTTGATTTACAGTTTAGACTTGATGATCTTTTCCAGCCTAGATGATTCTGATTCTGTTCGTTCTCTAGTGCTGTCTTGCTCCTCCTCTTCTTCCTCCTGTTCCATGCTCTTCTCACCTCCCCTCTACTCAGCGGGTCGGGCTGTCTGTCATCCAAGGCCAAGCTCTGACACAGGAAAGCTGCACAACCTGTGCTCAAGCTTCCTGGGAATTTGCAGAGCTGGGAGAAAGAACAGAGACAAACCTTGCCTGGTGGGAAAGGGAAGCTGCAGAGAGGGCGGATGGTTGGAACCTGCAGAGTGAGGAACTCAAGACTTCAAGAGCAGAAAACCAACAACAAAAGATGTAAAAATCTGAATGGAAAAAAATCAGTGAGCTGGAAGAGAGTGACGCAGCGAGACTAGATCAGCCCCGTCACGGAGCAGCGGACCCCCAGCCTTCCCCGCCCCGGCTGAAGCCTGCCTGGCCAGCAAAGGTTCTGCAGTGTCCTCACCTGCAGGGAGCACGCCAACCCCCCCCGCCTGCCTTGCTGCCCTGTGCCAGCTTTGGTGTACAGCAGCTTTCCTGCTGAAATTGCACACACCCTGCTGGCAAAGCCTCTGCACGTGGCAAAAGATGCACCGAGGGCACCCGACAAGGCAACGCTACAGCAGGTACCTAAGGCGATTTTTTTAATTTTTTTTTTTTTCTTTTTCTTTTCCCCCCCGAGAAGGCAAAATTGCCATTCAGTGTCGTGGTTTAACCCCAGCCGGCAAGTGAGCACCGCGCAGCTGCTCGCTCACTCCCGCCACAGCAGGAAGGGTGAAAGTGAGAAAAGTCACAGGGTTGAGGTAAGAACAGTTTAATAACTGAAATAAACCAATATCAAATTGCAACGAAAAGGAGAATGACAAAGACAGGGAAATAGAACCCAGGACAGACAAGTGATGCAAATGAAAACAACTGCTCAGCACCAACTGACCGATGCCGAGCCAGTCCCCCCCCGAGCAGCGGCCCCCTGCCAACCACCCGCCCAGTTTCCCTGCTGAGTGGGACATCCTACGCTATGGAACAGCATAACCCCGTCCCAACCAGCACGGCTCCCCAGCACAAGCCAGGATTTGGGTGCTGGGACAAACAACGCGCCAGCTGGGCAGAGCGCAGGGGCCTTTTCACGCCCCCAGCTGTCTCGGGAGGGGCAGCCTGGGCTAAAGCCTCTCTCCTCCTCCCCTCCGCGCTTTGGGCTCTGGCGGGGCAGCTGGGGCTGCGTCACAAGGACACCCTGGCTCCCAGCGTGCTGTCCTCCAGGCAGCGCCCAGGAATGACACTGCTCAGCACACCCAGGGCGGTCCCCACGGGAAGGACCCCGCGGGACTGGGCTTGTTGCTCCAGCCTTGGTGGAAAAGAAGTCGGCAGGGCCGCGTTCCGAAGAGTTTCATCCCTGCAGTGCTCAGCAGAGCCAGCAGCCCAGCGACCGCAGGCGCCATCTCCATGTTGGGCTCCACTCTGTCCGGGTCAGGACTGAGACGGTGTGAGCTGCCACAGGACCTGACCGAGAGTTCGGGGTCTTTCGCCAAGGGCAGGAGGGCTGCCAGGGAAGGAAGCAGAGCAGACGTCAATCCCCCGCCCCCCCTCCAGGAGCCCCCTCCAGAGCGTGCCAGAGCCAGGCATCCCCTGCCCCTGGCCAGGAGGAGCAGGCGAGACAAACAGCCAAACAGCCGAGCTGGCAGCTGCTGCTCAGACCGCTCCGAGGGCCCCTGACTCGTTCCTCTGCCCCCGGAGCAAAGCTCTCCCTGCAGCGCGGCCAGGCACGGCAGCAGCCTGCCCGGGCTCTGGCCCCTGCCCCAGCAGCCCCAGCCAGCACAGCACTGCCCTTCCTCACCGTTACAGATCTCCCAGCGCTTCTCCTGGCTGAGGTTCCGCAGGCGCTGTGCAGCCAGCCCTAGGCACAGAGCTCCCCTCAGACCTCTGCTCCCCAGCCCACTCCCCGCAGCACGGCCCCCGGCCCTCGCTCGGCTGCACGCCCTCCTCCCCCTCCGCAGGGCTGTCCCCAGGGCAGGACAGGACCCGAGGGAGCTGAGGCTGAGGCTCCCAGCGAGCCCACCTGCGTGCGGGGCCGTCCTCGGGGCAGCTGGGGCTCTGGCAGCCCCAGGGCTGCCCCTCGCTGCCAGCGCAGCGGCGGGGGCTGGGGCCGGGCTGCCACAAGAGGGTCCCCAGGGGCGCTGGCTCACCGAGGAAGCTGGCGGCCGCCTCTCGCAAGCTGGCCTGACTGTCCTTCAGGTACGGCAGGCTCTGGCGCAGATATTCTTCCGCCCTGCTCCTGTTGTGCGCTAACTGGAGAGAGCAAAAGGGTGCGGGGGATGCTGCAGCCCCTCCCCGGCCAGCCAGACCAGTCCCTCCTCCCCCCGGCGATTCCCAGCTGCCATCCAGAGCCCGGGGGGGGGCTGAGCTTCAGGGAGAGCCGCAGGGCAGAGGGGGCCCAGGGCTGGGGAGACCCTCTCCGTCCTGCTGCCAGGGCCCAGAGGGGCCGGGCTCTCCTTCAGCGCCCAGGGCTGGGAGGCGAGAGGGGCCTGGAGGAGAGCCCCTGGGGCCTCCGTGCTGGAGGGAAGGGGAGGAGGGGGCAGCTCCCGGCTCTGGGCTGCGGGCTGGAGCAGGGCAGGCGGGGCAGAGCTGCGCAGCCTGCACCCCAGGCGCGGCAGGCAGCCCTCGTCCAGCCCAGGCCCGGGGATTTGGGGGTCGTCCTCACCAAGCACTCCCCAATCAGGCGTGTCTCACATGTCTCGGCCAGGGAGCTGAGCCTCGTCCACCCCAGGAACTCTGCACAGCTTGCGAGGGTGTCCCTGGAGGCCTGCAGAGAAGCAGAGGCTGCCAGATGGCACCACAGCCTGCGGAAGGAGACCCGGCGGCCTCCTCCTCCTCCGCCGCCTCCTCCTCCTCGCGGCCAGGCTGCGGGCCGTTCCCAGCCCCTCGGGAGGAGAGGAGCAGGCAGGGCAGGGCAGGGCATTTGGGGAAATGTCTATGCGGGGCTCTCCGGCCCTGCTGGGGCTGGGGCTGCAGGGACCCTCCCTCTGGGATGTGCTGGAGGAGGGCTGAATGGGGAGAGCAGGGCTGGCGGGGAACCCCACCTCCCCATCCACCTCTGCAGCAGGCAGCAGCGCGGGAGGAGACGGCGGGCAGTGGGGGGACCCGTGCAGGGAAGGAGGGGAGCAGGTGGCACCCCGAGGTGACACACGTTCCCAGGCTCTGACATCCAGCAGCCCTTGCCCCTCAGGCCCCAGACACCCCCGCGGTGCCGGCACCTCCTTCCCCGAGACACTGCTCACTGCACCTGGGCCACGCTCTCGCTCCGGTCGGCCACGTGGAGCAGCAGCGGGAGCAGCACCCTCCGCACTTGCAGCACCATCTTCTTCTTGTTTCTCCCCTGCTTCGCCACAGCCTTCACCACCTCTCGGAAGAGGCTGATGGAGAGCTCCCGCAGCTGGCTGCACTCCTGGCAGGGAGGAGGACAGAGGGCCTTCAGCACCAGCCGCTCCCTGCCCGCAGCGAGCAGGGCCGTTAGCGTGGCTGACGGGAGGGGAGATGCTCTGGGGTCGGATCCTCAACACAGGAGCTGCGGGCCAGATCTGCAGGCTCCACGGCCCCAGAGCCCCGAGAGGCTGTGCCAGGGGAGTGAGGACCGGGGCTGAGGAGCCCTGAGGATGCTGGCTCGGGCTGAAGGGCAGCTGTCTTTGCCGAGGGCCCATCTGGAGAGCTGAGGCTCCCACGGCAGCCTTACGTCATCGAAGAGGGGCAGGAGCTTCTCCGCCAGCTGCAGAGCGATGAGGCTGGCCTCCTCCTGCTTCAGGTGGACCAGCACGTTCCTGAAGAACAGCAGGGCCTTCGTCTGGACGTCAGCACTGGCGTCCTGCAGGGTCTCCACGAGGTCTGGCACCAGCACGGGCATTCTTCTGGCCTGGGCGAAACACACCAGTTTCCTTACCGTGACACGGCGAAAGCCTGCCCTGGCCAAAATTCACCGGTCGCTGAGCACCAGGCTCCCAGCCGACTCCCCAGCAGGTACCACGGGAGCCACCGCAGCAGCCTCCTGGCAGGCAGTGGCCACTGACGAGGATGCAGAGCAAGCACGAGGAAGGGCGGGAGAGCAGCAGCCCCTGCTCAGCCACCCCTTTTTCCCACCGGCCCGAAGAGCCAGAGGGATCGGGAACCCCCTGGGCCTGGAGGGCTCCCCGGGCACCCACCAGGCCCCTCCTCCAGAGCAGGCAGGGAGGGTGCTCGGAGCTGGCAGCCCACATTCTGACTCCCAGCCTTGCAAGGCCAAGCCGCCCCGTTGCCCACTGCCCCAGGCCCCAGCTGCTACAACACGGCTCCGCTTGACTCCACCCTGGCTCACCATCTCCGGGCTCTCGGAAAGCGTCAGGAGGACCCTGAGCACCAGCGAGAGCATCAGCGGGCTCGGATGCCTCAGGTACCGCTGGGCTTTGTAGAGGGCAGCAAACTCCTCGGGGTCAACGCCAGGACAGACCAGCAGCTACAAAGGAGACAGCGGTGAGAGCCCGGCAGAGCCTGCAGGGCTGCCTCCCCCACGCTGGCACAGAGGAGCACGACACGCAGGGGGGGCCTCCTCTCCCCTCGAAGCCCCCGCAGAGGGCCCATGCCTCTGCCCCGGGCCCAGCAACTGGCCTGGCTCTGGCTCGTGCCCCTTTCTCTGCCCCTGCCCCAGAGCTCCAGGCTGCAGAGCCGGGCAGGGGGATGAGCAGGCAGGGGGGAAGCAGAGCAGCGCCCGGGCAGGGGCAGGCTTCGGGCGTTTTCAGCAGGGCCAAAGCAGCACGGGGTGGCCCCAGGGCTCTGGCCCGGGCTCTGGCGGGTGCTGGGCAGGTCCCTGCTGCCCCTGGCTCGGGGGCTGTGTCCGTCTGGACTGGAGGAAGGGGCCGTTTGGAGGCAGGCAGAGCGGGAGGGGGCCGGGCCTGTTTCCCGGGGGTGGCAGGCACAGCCCCGAAGGGGAGGTGGGTGCACGCTCACTCACAAACAAGGGGTAGATGCAGGCATCCTCCGTGGCAGAGCTGAACACCTTGCGCAGCTTCTGGTCCTGGAGCACGTTGAGCAGCTCCATCAAGACGTTCCACAAAGCCCAAGGCACGGAGAGCATCACCTCCCACATGGCCAGGGCAGCGCTGCAGACCCAGAGCGCTCGCTCAGCAGGGCTGCCTCGGCCACTGCGCCGTGCCCGAGCCAGCTCCTCCGGAGCCAGGCGGGGCTGCAGCCCCGGCCCTGCCCACCCCCCTCCCTTGGGGTGCCCGGGGGCCCTGCCCGGGCAGGCACAGGGGGCTGAGCTGGGCTGCCCCAGGAGGCAGGGAGGAGCGAGCTCGCTTCGCCAGCTTGGCCTGCCGCAGGCCTGGCTGACCCACAGGCACTGGGAAGTGCAGGGGGATGGAGGGCCCTGCTCCTCGGGGGGGTCCTCACATTGCCCAGGCCCCTCTCCCCATGGGGAAACAAGCCCCCCCACCCCGGGCTGCCCAGACCAGGACCTGTCACAGGCCGGAGAGATCTTCAGCAGGCTCCCCACCACTTCTTCGGAGCACCACTTGATCAGCAGGAGAAGGAGCGAGTCCAGGCTGTGCCGGGCTGGCTCGCTCTGGATGCGCTCCACGGTTCTGTGGATGGACCTCGTCACCTTTGGCACCTGGAGGGGACACAGGGGCAGGCGGTGCTGCCGCTGGAGTGCAGCCATCGCCCCGGCTGCTGCTGAAACTGCTGCCCTTCGCCTCGCTCTCTGCATGCCTTCCAATGGCTTCAGGGGGCCCGCGAGAGCTGCCTTCGGGAAGGAGGGAAGAACAAGGCCTGGCAGGGCTCACGGGCAGGGCCATCCAGCCCCGGGGCACTTACATCCGTCAGCCAGCCGGCAGGGTCTCTCACGGCCATGTCCACGACGCTGCTGCCCATCTGCCTGTCGGAGGCGTCGTCTGATGCCAAGGCCTCAATGGCCACCAGGAGAACTTCTGTCATCTGCGAAGGCTGGAGGTGTTCTCCAAACACCTGCTCCAGGAAGGGAGGCAGGGAGGGAGGGAGGGAAGACGTGTCACGCCGAGCACACCGACAGTGCAGCTTGGCTGAGTGGTGCCAACAGCTCCGCATCCCTTTGCTCACACAAGCCGAGGCTCCTGCCGATGACACGGACAAGAGTCCCAGCGAGGGGGGAGCTCCTCACCGTCGTCATGTCGCTGCTGTCGAACGAAGACAGCGACCAGGTGCTCTCAGAATCCCGTCCTGGCTGGGGAGGCTCCTCTGACCATGGGTCGCCTGCACGGAGGTTGGGAAACACAGAAGAGTCGTCGCTGGGGAGGCAGCAGGGATCTTTGCCAAGAAGCCTCCCAAGCAGTGCAAAGAGCACGGAATTCAGCAGAGCCGAGGGGGGAGGCTGTGCTGGGGCCAGCTGCCAGCCCCGAGCAGCCCCGGCACTCTCGCACCCCTGGGACCAGCGGCCCCCCAGCTGCCAAGGTGCCGAGGCAATGGGATGCTGGCATTGAGCCGGTGGTGCTCACTGGCCCCAAGCCTGCCCAGCCCCGGGGGCCCCTCACTCACCGGCCTGCAGCGGCTGCACCATGGACACCTCGTGGGGCTCCAGCAGAGAGCTGCTCTCCTGGGGAGCCCCCACCTCCTCCCAGGCCACCCTGGGGTGGAGGGGGGGTCCCTCCGCCGTCCTGCAAAATGGAGGAAAGGGGCTGGGGGCGGAGGGGGGGTGCAGCTTAAGGGAAACTGCCGGCGGGGGCGGGGAAAGACTTGGGCTGCGCCTCGCCAGCTCCGCGCTCCTGCCCTGTCCCATCGCTGTCTGGTCAGACACTGCGGGGCTGCAGCCGCGCGGGCTCGAGATGGTGTCGTGGGGTGTCACAGGGGCCCATTGTGACCCGCCACCCAGGCCGGGAGGGGCAGGGGCTGCACCGCGGGGGGTAGGCACCCAGCTCAGCATTGGCCCACAGGCCCTCCTCTCAGGGTGCCCCAGGCCCCCAGCTCTCCTTCTGGCCCCCTCAGAACGCTCCGGGACCCTCCGGCTCAGCCCAGAGCCCCGTGTTCACATGCCTGCCACGGCCCCGGGACCCATCTGGGACACCCCTGCTTCTCCCCCTCCGTGGAGTGCTCTCTTTGCGCCTCGGCACCTTCTGGCACCTCACAGTCAGCTCCTTTCTCCCACGCTGAAAATCTCTCCCGGCACCAGGAAGCAAAAGAGGTTTACGCCTGCTCCTCTCCTCCACTCTCTGGGGACGCGCCTGTCGATGGGACCGTTCCAGTATCACTTACCAGATGCTGTCAGAACAGGAAACCCCAAAGAAATGTTCTCTTCTCTCCACTGCCGCTTTAACATCTTTAATCCGTGTCCTCCTCTACAGCCTAAGAGACACAGAACGTGAGGAGCCTTTCAGAAAAGTCTTCTCTAAGCACACGGATCTCACTGGGATCCAAACCACAGCCGACTGCTTTGAACAACTTCCAGGCTGCTCCTTCTTTTGGCCTTATAGAGATTTCTTGCCATTTCCAAGGTGGGCAGTGGGGAGGATAGACGCTTCCGGATGGTGTGTCTGCCCTCTCATTACCTACGGAAGCTGTCACTGACTTCTGTGGTCATCAACCCTGGCTTGAGGTGCAAACAACCACTTTAGAAAGGAAGAAACTGTTGGAGATGGCAGACCACGAAAGGAGAACACTCGTCGGCCCGGAGTGAAACTGGTGACAGCAGAAAGGGAAAACCTACCAGGCAAAAGACTGGAAAGGACAGCGTCAGGGGGAAAGAGGGACAAGGAGGTGCAGCTGAAAAGGAGCCGGGGACGCCGGGGGGTCCCAGTCCAGCAGCCCCGTGCCTGCTGCCCTGTGCAGCCTGCAGCAGGGCAAGAAACCTGCTGCCCCGACTGTACCGCCTGTGTTTGCCTGGTTGCTGTAGTCACGGGCCGGGGAAAGGCAATCCGCTTTCAAAACCCTTCACCCCACACTGACCCTGCTGCAAAGGGAAGGTCTGGACCCATCCTGTTTGTGCTGTCTAAGACTCCCCCCGTGTGAAGGGTAGATGGGAACGGGCTGCGTCTCCCCGGCCAGCGCTTGTGCCAAGCCCCTGCCCCCCTTCACGTGCCGGGGAAAGGCAATCCGTTTTCGTGGCGTAGATGCAGTTTGCATTCAAAGCACGCAGGGAGCAGCCCTGCTTGCGGCAGGCAGGCGGGCAGCAGCTTGTTCACACCCAGCCAGCAACTCCACCAGTTGTGTTACAGACACCCTAATAAAATAGCTTGGATCCTAGAAGATCATTCTGATTTTAGTTTAGAGTATGATTTTGATTTTAATATGGAGTTATAGCTGCTATGAGAATATAAGGTATGTTAAGGCCCTCAGGAACAGGTAACTAGCGTGATGTTTGCCTTGATCACTACAGGAATCGTTACGGACTTCGAATTAAAACAACGGGTACTGGTTATGGACCTTGAGCCAACCGCTCCCGAGAAGAGCGATTCCCACCTGCCGGTCCTGGCCCTGGCATTCCCCTCCCCACATTCCTCTGCAGATTGATGGCTGCAGATGAAGCACGGCGTGACTCCTCGGGCAGGCTTGCACTCTTCCAGCCGACAGCTTGATCAGAGCTTGGCCATCCCTGTGGCATGCCGGCAGCTGGAGTCCTTCAGCCCATGACACGCTGGCAGCTGGGGTCGCTGCCCGGCAGCTCTGCTCACTGGGCATCATCACCCTCTGGTAGTACCAAGACGTCAGCTCCTAATTCCATGTCCTGAGAGTAGCTTCCCACTGTCACCTGCTGCACACCAACAGCAACAGCACTGTCCTCTCCCCTGCCCAGCTCCACACTCGGGAGAAGGCGTTCACATACCCCTGGCAGCCACCCTTGCAGCCTGAAAATTCCTCCTGTGCTGCTCCGGGCCGTGAAAACTCTCACACTATGGCTGTACCCACATCACTGTTCTCATGCCGAGCGACACTGCCCACTTCTGTGTATTCCCACATGTCTACAGCCAGCTATTGCCTTCTGTCTCGTAAGCATTTTGGAAAAGCACACTTTTGTTTTCCTGAATACCTGCTCTGACCTCACTACAGCACAGGCCCAGAGTCCAGGACTGTGGCCGGTAAAGTCCAGAGCAGTAGAGAACTGTGCGAGAATGGAAAATACCCAGGAGTTCAGCTCCTTTCAATTGTTTAAGACGAGGCTTTTGGCTGCAACACCGTCCAGATAATTTAAAACCAGAACTCACCTACATGCCCTCCTTGACTGGCACCTCTTTCTTCACCAGTTCTTTGCACTTCTTTCTTTCCTCTGGAGTACTTCTCGAGTTTTTCTGTTTAAGAGACACAAGAGAGACCAATCACAAAAATGCAGAAAACCTGCCAGTCACACACGTACCGAGGCCCTGCACATACACAAAAGATGAATGCGCCGGGGAGGAGAGAGCAGGAGCAGCCCTCTGGCCCCCAGGAGTAGGAACAAGAATTGCTGCTCTGAACTGGGGCTCAGTCCGTGTGCAAGTACAGTACTGACCCCGACAGGAGGCTGGGGGTGGCAGTTAATCCCAGGTGACACACACACACTCTACCTGCTCCCATCGCCTCCTGACGAGCAATTGTTTTCCAGGCTCTTCTTCCATCTCACTGCAGCTAAGATACCTGCGCTCTGGCTCATGGCTGGCTGGGGGAACTTCTTGGTGCTTTAACCTTGCTGCAGGCTTGGCAAGAGCTCGAGGCTTCATCCCTTTGGCTTGGCCCCAGCAGAAGGTGGGCAACTGGCAGGTTTGCAAGTGGCTGGATGGAACTGAGCTGGTACGCCTACTAGAGATTAAAAACCAAGCGAAGAAAAAGCCCAGAGAAACTGTGTTAGAGAGCAGCAGAAAGAAACAGAAGGGTTCATCACTGTTGGACACACAGGGTTTGCAATTCTGGAGACTGCAGCTCCCGACAGACTCGCCTCTTTGAATGGAAACACCCTTTAACTTTTGACCCTGACAGAAATGTTACAGGCTGACCCCGTCCCTTCTTTGCAGTTGCCCGAAGCGTTTACTTGCCCCTGTCCAGTTCTCTCCCGTGCTTACAAAGTACGCTTAGTCTGCAAAACAGTCAGCACTACAAACTGGCAGCCAAATGCCTCTTCCCTCAAAGACGTGAAAACTGCACTTAAAGGCACCACAGGTTCCATGACAAGCCTTCTGCTCTGGGTTAGGTTTTAAAAAGCAAGGTCTTCTGAACCTCTCTTTTCCAGCTGCTGCCAACCTCTGGAGAACAGGTCTGGTTTTGATCAGATGGGTGACCAACGCTAACTGCCAAAATCCAGTACAGGATGTTACACTGCAGGCTTTAGATTGTGCAGCCCAGCCCGAAGGACTGAACGACCTCCCTCCTGCCACGGGGCTGACTGCAGTATTGCACATCCCCTGGCTTCTCAGGCTCTTCCCCAGCAGGCTCCTTCTGCCCACTCTGCTACAGGCCACTACACAGTCCCAGGGAAGCATATTCTGGACCCACTCTGGCATCTCCGGTCGGTGATGATACAGAGATGCTCCCACAGCACGCTGTGCTCCTCTCGCCTGTTCTGCCCTCTCTGCATTGCCCCTTTCCTCATCTCCGGCCACCGGTTTGGGCCTTCGGTCAGATCTCCACTGCTTATAAAACTCCCCCGTTTCAAGGAAATCGGCAAGATGACCACGTCCTCCCGATCCTTGTCCCTCCTGGGAACCCTGCTCTGGCGACCACTACAGAAAATGGATGGCAGCATGATCATGAAAACATCAAGGCTTGCCCCAGCGGTAGGTGGCATGAGATTTGCTGCTGTTCTGCAGGGAAGCACAGCGCAAAGGAAACCTTGGGAGGTTTAAGCACTGACAACTTGACGGGGCTCTACTGGCTTTTCGCTGCCTTCTGCAGACCTCCCGGCTGTTAACGTGCCAAACTTCCCAGTCCCCTGAGTTTCCAGATGGCTTATTTGGGCTGGGACTAGAGCATCAGCTGACACCGGTTACTTGTCTGGCAGAAGCAATGCCAACAGAGTTTCTGATGCACCTCCTGAGCACAGGAATGCCAACAAGGGATCGCTATGGCTCACATCATTGAAAGCTCACCTCATTTAAGAAACTCTCATCATTTAAGACCATTTAAGAGTAACTCACATCATTTAAGAACCCACAACAGGCAACCGAATGTGGTAATGAGCACAAAGAAAGGGGTCTTTTCGGAATCACGATCTACCGCTTTTTCACGTCCGTATTTTCTGCACCACGGGGAGGAAACACAGCCTCTGCGGGCCCTGCAGTCAAACACGGTTCTGCAGGACAAGGGTGGGGGGAAGAAAGTAGAGAGACCTGAACAGGGAATTTCCAAATTTGTGATGAGTCAAGTATAAACAGTTGCAAAGTCTAGCATCAATTTACAGAAACTGAAGCCTGCTGGAGCCAAGTAGGAGAAGTGAGTATTACGGAGAACTAGAGGGGAGCACTGCAATCAAAAGGGTAGGCAGCACAGGCAGATCTAAGCACACATTTCCACCTGCCTGCCTGAAACAAAACAGCCTTATGATCCCAACCGCTCACGTCACCCTGGAATAATCCCACTCCTCGTCCAAAAGCTACTGCGCACCTGGCCGAGGAGAGATACAATCCACACAGGGAGCAATCAGAGAGAAACGCTGCACTTTCCCTGGAAAAAATTACATTTAAAAAACAGCCAAAAGAAAGTCCCCTGATACTGCAAGAACCAGGAAGCTTCAAGTCCCTGACAGGCGGACTGGAGCTTCCCAGCTGTGGTAAAACCATCCCCCCTCTGTACCCCCATTCCCCAGGAGCCAGCAGCACTGCTGGGGTGGGAGGAAAGGCACGAATCAGAGCACGGGGCCAAGAGAGGGGCACAAGCATCTGCCAAGGCAGCTGCGTCCAAGCAGGAGCGCTTCCCACTTGCTTCTCTGGCAACACAGCCCCGGCGCGTGCTCTCACCAAGAGGGAGAAACAACCTCCGTGTCTGGAAATCCCCCTTTCGTGCAGGCTGCCAGAGCTGGGGCTGTCCACAAGCACAGGACGCACATGGAGGCCTGGGGACAGCAAAGGCACCCGGGCTGTGCCCCCAGAGCAGGCCTGCTCCAGAGCCTGCAGCCTCCTGGACGAGAGGAGGCCGCTCCACTTTCCCCTGGCCTGTGGCCATGACACACCGAGCTCCCGCTGTCAGGGGATGGGGCTGGCGACCCTCGGGGCAGCAGCAGGAGCCGCTCGGCCCCTGCTTGTGGGGCTGTCCCTGGGGCTGAGCACTCGGGGCCAGGGCTGCTGAGCTGGGCCGTGGCAGGGCCCGTGGGGGATGAGGTCTCCAGGTGCCCCCGCACAGGCCCGTCCGCACTGGGAGGAACCTGCTCCCGCTCCTGCCCCACCCCTCACCCCGCTCCTGCTCCCGCAGCACCCGATCCCCGATCCCGATCCCGATCCCGATCCCGATCCCGATCCCAGTCCCGGATCCCGGTCCCGATCCCGGTGCCGACCTCACTCCGCACCCCGCCGCTCTCGCCCCCGCTTCCCCTCAGGCCCCGCGGGCTCCGCCCCCTCCGGCCCCGGCCCGGCCCCGGCCGGCTGAGACTGACAGGCCGCCTCCGGCTCCGCCGATTGGCCGGGCCGGGGCCAATGGCGCGGCTGTTGCCGGGCAGAGCAGCCCCGGGGGCCGGCCGGGCCGTGGCGCTTGCGGAGCGGCGGGCTGCGGGACGGGCCGCGTCAGCCGGGGCTGCGCTCCCCGCAGCGGGAGCTGCGCGCCCAGCTCGGCCGGCCCCAAGGGCTCTCCTGGGGCCCGGGCTGCTCAGGGAGGGAGGGTCGAGGCAGGCGGGGTTCGCGCCGGTCGGCCAGGCTGCCTGGGAACGCGGCTCTGCCCGTGCTGCAGCCGAGCGCTGGGCGGGAGGAGCCGCGTGGCGGGAGCTGCCGGCTGCGGCGCGGCCGGAGACAGGGCTGTGCCCCGCTGCCAGCGCCCGCGCTGAGCCCCGCGCCCGGGGCCTTCCCCCGAGGAGGAGGAGAGCCGCCCCGTCCGGGCCTTAGGAAGGAGTGAAGCCGGTCTGTATGAAAATACATCATTTCATTTGGGTTCGGTCAATTCGGGGTGAGAAGCAATAGGCAAAGCAGCGCTGGGGGCGCGGAGAGCCTCAGCTCTGCCACGACGCACCCCGAGTTCTAAAAGCAGTGTCTCTTAGACTCTTTCCGTCACATCACAGTCGTCCTGCTCTTCTTCCATGGGGTCCTTTGAAGCGCTGGGGTAGTGTCCTCCTCCCAGGGGATCTTTTGGAAGTTTGAAGGTTTCCACCTCTTGGCGTGCTTTCTTCTCATCGGGTCCTTTAAAAGTCCCAGGGTCTCAGCTTTCGGCAGGCTTTTTCTAAACGGCTGCTGTCTCAGCTCTAGGGGGGGTGTTAAGGAGTGTTTCTAAAAGGCAGCAGTGCTTACAGTGTTTCAGGTTAAAGGTACATTTTCTTCTTGGTCTCACACGTTCTCAGTTTGATTCCAACATTCACTACAACTGCTATACATGTCATACTGATCACAGCTCACCCCAGATCCACACAGGCTACAACAATTACACTTATCACACCACACTCTCTCTTGACACGAATCATGCCTATGTTTCCCACAACTCCCCCCTCTGCTTTTGTCCATTTCATTGATTCGTGTCTTGGTTTCCAATTCGATAACAGCTTTCCGTGCTGCTGTCAAATTTGGGGTTGTTTTAGTTTCCAGCATCATTAATGGCATTTTGTCACCTTTCATCTCCAATTGCATACTCTGCACCACTGATTGTATCAATCGAATAAAACATGGAATTATACAAGGGATAATTAACAACCCTCCAAATATTCCTAGGAGTACAATACCCACTTTAGTAAACCAATCGCCATTAAAGAATGACCTCCATGATCCCAAATTCCCAACGTCAAATCCATTCCACGTTTGCACTGGGACATGGGCTACTTTCTTAATTTCTCTAACCAGTTCATCTATAGCCCTTCCTTCGTCATCTATTTGTATACAACAATTGGTGAGGTTAAATTTCCCACAAACTCCCCCTTCTTGTGCCAACAGGTAGTCCAATGCTAAACGATTTTGGCATATTGCAGTTCTCATTTTTGTATTTTGTTTTGCAAGTAGGCTTAATGCATCTCCGGTTTTGGTCACTACTGTTTCAACTACTGCTTGTAGCCGTATCATCCTGTTTAACATATATATATCGGAGTTCGGTAGCCCCAAGATCCATCCTCTGCCCATGTTGCAGGATCATAATAGGCTATTATTCTCTCTGGAGGCCAATCATTATCTTTCCAATTCCCAATTTGTAAATCTCTCTTGTATCCTCTCAATTGATCAGAATCTGTACATACAGGAACCCCCAATCGTTCTCCTTTACCTATGGGCAACAAGAAGAAGCTAGGTCTTATGGTACCTACTATACATGACCCAACCCAATTCTTTGGTAAAGATGCGAAGGCTAATTTTCCACAAATCCAATAGTGTCCCTCTGGTGCAGGCCAACCATTAGGTATTTTTTTACCACTGGTCCAGTTGGCCACTTGTGGATTTATTGCCATTGGATTTCCCTATTTATCCCAATCCTTTCTTGTTCTATTCCATATATAGCCTCCTTCACAAATTAAATTTCCCACCGGTTCCCCTTCCTTAGCTAAATGTTGGAAACAGCTTCTCCCTATTATATTAGTTTGTAAAATCCACTGTTGTTTTCTATCCTGTTTATTCACCTTCCATATCTTAGGGTCAGTTATATTACTCTCCAAGGCTTCCCAAGGCCAGTGTTCTCCCTGATTTGTCCCTCCACACACATAACAATTAGTTACTTTTAGTGCTTTTGCTATATTTTCAGCAAGGTTCACAAACAGATTTTTAGCAACTGTGGGAATTTCACACTGGACTCCTGTTTCCATTTCATGATAAAATGAGTTGAATAACAAATGGTGTTGTATGGTTTGCCTTACTTCTTGATGATAAATTATTCGGATTATGGCTCCTGGATCATAACCAGAGGCCCAAATCTTGATTCCGAAATCTGTTACCTTTTTTGTTACTCTCCAAGACAAGGGATCTATAATTGTCCAATTGACCAGAGTACAGTTATAAAGTCCACAACTTGAGTTTGCCTTGATCTTTTCCAATTTGGTCTTCAGATGGTGACAATGATATTCCTAGCCCCAGTTAGCGGTTGCCCAACACACACCCTCCCATGTATTTCCACACAAGTGGCCTCCGTGGACCCCAGAGGCGAGATAAGAATTTCCACAATTCATACACATGTATTTTTCAGTTTTCCCATATTGTCTCCTCTGATTTAAATCTCCACAGCTGAGTAATAGTCCCTATCTACCGCTTGGTAGACATCAAAAATGACCGATACCAGGCAATTAGGACTATAAACCTGATTACTTACGGACAAAGTTTTCCATCCGTCATATTTATATTTCCTTTTCTTCATGGATCCCTCTGTTTTCAATTCTATCCAATAGAGAGTTGGAAGTACTTCAGGATTATAGCACATGACTATGTTGGCTGAAAGATCCTTGCAGAGTTTATATTTGGTTTGGTTATATATGCAATCACCCATGATCTGCCCTTTACATTCGTAGTGGCCATGGTATATCAATGTATGGGAGACTCTATCACCTTGCATTGTTACAGCAACACACTCACTGCAATGGTGGGAAGAGGAGTCCACACCTTCCCGCAGGGTTCCAGTCAGGACCCATACCAAGAGAGGTCCGGTCGGGATCATAATGCCCAGCGGTCACCGCCCCAGGGGTTGCAGCCCTCGGCACACCTTGTCAGCTGCAGCACCAATTCCCTCCGGCCTTGCCCTCTCCGGCTTTTACTGGGGTGTGCCTCTCTCCTTTGTACATGAGAGGAATTTTTTTACCCAGTACTGGACTTCCAACACGAACAAGTGCTTGGAAAAGGTGAGGAAAAGCTGGTTGCTTTAACTAAAAAGTACAGTCTGCTTTCTATACGCTGTTCAGTTAGAATTTACCTTTTTACAGAAGTCAATATGAACCTCCCTCAGCCATTCCATCAAGTCCTTTTAAAGGTGAGTTTGGTATTTCCAGGTTCAGTTATGACCCTCCATTCCTTTATAGGTCCCTTCACCCTTAATGCATGTGTCCATCCCTTTTCAGCCGTCCTTATCGCAGTTTCTGTAGTTAAAAGAACTAGAAATGGACCTTCCCATCGAGGGTTAAAGCTATCTTCTTCCCAGCTTTTTACCAGCACTTTGTCCCCTGGCTGAATGTTGTGTATTGCAAAATCCAAAGGGGTGCTCTGGGCTAATAGCCCTTTAGCCCTGAGCTCCTGCATGTTTTTGTTTAATTCTATGATATAATGTTGAATAGTCATATCTTCCAATTTGGGATGATCTATTGGTAACCCTTGGGTATAAGGCATTCCATACAACATTTCAAAAGGTGAAATTCCAGTTCCTGAATTTGGCATAGTTCTGATATTTAACAAGGCCAGGGGAAGACACTTTATCCTTGTCATTTTTGTCTCAATCGTAAGTTTGGATAACTGATGTTTTAGAGGCTGATTTACCCTTTCCACTCTTCCAGAACTTTGGGGATGCCAGGGAATGTGATAGTCCCATTGGATTCCCAAAGCTGATATAACATTTTTAAGAATCTTAGATGTAAAATGAGATCCTTGATCTGAGTCGATTACTTTAATCATCCTGTATCGGGGAATGATTTTCTCAAGTAGTTGCTTTGCTACTGTCTGAGCTGTGGCTCTTGTAGCAGGGAATGCCTCAGCCCAGTGGGTTAGCTGGTCAATGACCACCAAAAGATACTTATAACGTCCCACCTTTGGTAATTCAGTAAAATCTACCTGTATCCTTTCAAAGGGTCAGTGAGCCAGAGGCGTCCCTCCTTTTGGTGTCTGTCTTATTTGTTTCTTATTAATTTTCTGACAAATTAAACAACCCTGCACCTCTTGTTTTGCAATTTCAAAACTTCCTGTACACCCATAAAATTTTAGGAACTGATCCACAAGAGCTCTAGCTCCCCAATGTGTCTGTTGATGTAACCTTTGCAATATCCTTCTGGCATACCGTTTTGGTAACTTTTCCCTGCCATCTGGCAAAATCCATTTATCGTCTTTCTGTTTAGCTCCTAATTTTTCGTATTCCAATATTTCACATTCAGAATAAGCATTTCGTTCATTCGCTTGTTCCTCTTTTAGTCCTGGTTGCTGAAGGGTTGTCAAGGTTAAGAGAGCTGCTCGCTTGGCTTCTTCATCTGCTAAATTATTTCCCCTAATTCTAAATTGCAACCCTTTTTGGTGTTCTCTACCATGAGTTATAGCTATCGCCTCAGGTTCTCGTATAGCCTGCAATATTTGTTTTATT